CAAATACAGTGTTCTACAGATTGCTTAGTGAAATACAAGTGGTTCTTGTAAGGGTTTTCCCAGAAAGTGCAAGGAAAAGCAAAAATGTGTTTTGCAAAGACACATAAACAATATGCTGTGGATTGTAAAAAAATAAAGTATAAAAAGAGAACAGATTTGTGTTACTTACCAGGATTAAGAGGAAGGAAATGAAAGTAGAAAACAGCAACGGACACGAGCTTCATAGTTGCAGAGTTGGAGAACAATGGAGGCTCGAAAAGAGAGAAGGAGATTAATAGTGGTGTGAGTGATTCAAAAGAGAACGAAAGGGTTTGTTTTGATGGAAGGCCCAAAATTTGGGCGGGACTGTTCAAAAAACACGAGGTACGAAGACGACGTGATAGCTACCTTCAACCAATGAGAGTATGCCACGTGTCATTGGAATGAAAAGCGATTCAGTTGCTGCGATTGAAGGGACGTTTTGACCGGACAGATAGAACCCAGTGTAAATTTAGCTCGGCTGGAAAAGCTAAAAATTTTTAGCTCGGCTGGAAAGGCTAAAGGGTTTTTAGCTCGGCTGAAAGGGCTAAAGAGTTTAGCCCGGTCGTAAAGCTAAAGTTTTTTAGCTCGGCTGGTAGGCAGGTAATCCTTATCATGTTGCACAGATAGAATTAAGGGGCAATTGAGAGGGTAATTTATATGTAAATTGGGCCGAGCTGGGTAATGGGTCATTCTTTGGGCACGGTAAGAAGAGCTGGATGAAAGGGGCGTGAAGTTAGCCCGGTCCCAGAAGCCCTATTGTTATCCCAGTCCAGAGAGACTTGTTGTTATCCCAGTCTGGGAGATATTTGTGGATAGCTTGGTCACCACACTCAGAATTAGCCCGGTCGTGGCATGTTGCGGTTAGCTCGGTTAAAACGTTGCTATTTCTTAGCTCAGTCCAAACACACCATGGTTTGTAGAGGAGAAGCCGAGGTAAGAGTAGTGAATGGAAGAAACTGAACTAGCTTTAGTTCGGTCTACTCTGCGGCTCAACATAGCCATGCTTACCTCGGTTATATTGGGATCCGACCATGGTAAAGCCATCTCACTTGGTTTAAGCAGTGAGGGGAGTATTGAAGGATAAGCATTATCTTTCAGGAATGTGATTCCTATGAGGATTCTACAGAGAGGAGTAAAAGTCCTACTAGGATTATGCCACACGGAACCTATAAAAGCTCACAACATCACCTATGGAGAGGTAACACAACTTTGATTCTCGAATATACAGGGCTTTTGTCTATTTGTCTATTTCGCTGACTTAGGCATCGGAGAAGTATCCGGCACACACCCGCCGGCTAGCTCACGTTTGTGTTTTCAAGGAGTAAAGTGACGACGTACGGAGGAGCGCAGACTTGATCAACAGGATTATACGAGAAGGTTTATTTCTTTCCCGTACAGTTTGTAAAAGGTTTGAAACTACTATTCTTCTTGATATAATTGGGTTCAAAACAGGTAGTAAGTGGTGTATGAAATTTCTTAGTTAATTATTTTTTATTCATATTATTGTGTGGAATTTATTGTTTGTTTGGTTAACAAATAATTCTTTAAGGTCGAAACTACTGTTTTTATTCATATTTTTTTATTCATCAACAGATTTATTTATTGAATTGGTGGAATTTATTTTAGAATTGTAAAATTATAAATTTAATATTTTTTTGCTAATTATACATTTAATTGTAAAGTTGTCTATTTTTAAAATTACTAATATTTTAACTTGGTAATAAATTAAAAATCATAAAAAAATGTCTATTCTCATAATAAAATTGCTAATGGTGAAGGCCTAGTTATGGTTTGGCCCAAAAATTTTTATTGATACAGTCCAACCCGTGAAACCGATCGAATCCGACCGTCAATCCGATTCCTATGAACGGACGGTTTCGAACCATCACCCGGTCAAAATCGGATATTAATTCTTCCAATCCGAATGGGCTCGGTCGGCTACCGGTTAATAGGTTAACCCGATCCGAACCGACCCGTGTGCAGCCCTACTTGGAAACACTCTGTTTTTGCTTTGTTTTAGCTCTGTGGCAGTAGGGTATCCCCTAGAAACAGTGGCCTGGGGGCCATAATTCTGTACAGCCGACCACTTTTCAAGGTCGGCCAGCTACCTATTTTGTACAGGCAATGGCATTTTTACAGCAAATCTGAGCAAAATTTGAGGCCAAAACAGAATGATTTTCTGACTGCAAACAAAGCAGATTCTGGCAGTAAACAAAGAAGTTTCTAGAGAATGTTCTTGATTGTGCACAAGTGGCTCCTCACCTTCCATTCAAATCCATTAAATTAGTACTTTAATATTAGTATGTGTAATTAATTAGTTGGTTTCATTCGAATTTGCAATAGCTAGTTAATTTAGTTAATTCATTTGGGGTTTGCAATAATTAACTTAATTAGGACATTCATTCGGACCCTCTTGTATGAGGGCAAACTTGTAATAGTTATATGTCTTCTAACCCCCATTTCTCTCTCTGTTTTACTTACATGCTTAATGTGGTAGTATCATGTTTTGATTTCATATCATTGCTATGATTTGTATCCATGTTTGCATACATTGGGTTCGGTTCATCATTATAATATCATTGTCATTTCCTACTTACTTGAATATGTGCGTTGTTACATGCTTTAAGTTGATCCATATGACATGATAAATAAGCCGAACCTAATAGTTGCATTTTCTATGTGTTGCATTAGTCACTTTGCATATTAGGAGCATACATTTTTCTAACTATTATCTTTTTCTTTGGCTTGTCTCGGAGTACTAGATGAGCAGTTTTGCTTTAGCATATTCACTTTTGTTTGTGTTTCCATGTCAAGCATACTACCATGAGGCTACATGCTTATTCGAAATAACTGTTTGAATGTTTGTGGATGAAGATTATTTCGCTTAAGTTGGAACGACTTTGATAAATGTACATATGAGCTTGCTTTTCAAATAGCACATATTCAAAACTCTTTTCAAACAAACAAGGAATCAAAAGCATTCCAAAGTGGGTGACGTAGTAGCATTAATAATTAGAACAAGAGCATATAATGTACATAAAAATCACATCATGATTAGTAGAGGTCAATCTTTAATCGAGTGAGTGGGGTGCTCAATTTATGACATTGCCCTCTCATACCTAAGTTCCTGAGCCAAGACACTTTGGTTATGACGGACAAGTGGCCTTTGACACGAGTTATGTGTTTTCTAAATTTTCTAAAAATATTTAGGTGACAACTCTAAAATCTGGCAATGTAGTCCATTTCTAGTATCTCTAATGATAAATGGATTTTCTAAAGATTTGTCGGATTTAGACTTTCATTTGTGTTTTTTTCTGTTTCACGTTGCACTTGTGAAACTAGATTATATTTAGAACCACGGGAATCCGAACTATAGGGCTATCGTATCCAAGGACACTAAAGCCTTCCGAGGAGCACGAAAAACCAGCTATAGCAGGGCTCAATTTTTGGGACACAACTAGCCATTCATTTATTTGGTGAACGCTAAGGGGGCATTTGTTTGGAAGGATTAGACTCCATGTCTAATCTACTATAGAATTCATTGTTTGGTTGAAAATTTGTAAATCCGATTAGGAGTCCCATCGAACTATGAATCTCATATATGTTAGACTATTGTGTCCTAGAAGGGATGTAGGATAGAAATGGTGGGATCAGAATCCCATTGGATTAAGTTGTAAAATGATAAATTTACCCAAGCATTTGATTTCATTATGTATAATATTTAGTAAAATAAAATAAAATATAAAAATCTCATTTAAAAAATAAAATAAAATAAATTTATTTAATTTTTATTGATGTTTATTTACTTAATTTTTTAAATAAATTTTATAGATTTTTTATTGATGTTTTATTTTAAGTTTTTGTTGATATTTTATTTCATTTCATTATTTAATATTTAAAAAAATAAATTTATTTAAAATTTTATTTTAAAAATAACATAAATTTTTATTGATGTTTTATTTATTTAATGAAAAAATTAGTGAAACATCCTTCTCCAACTTTGTGTAGTATGAGAGGTACAAAATGTTTTTTTTTATTAGCTAAGGTTCATCAATATGTTCACAGAGAAAATTTAACTCAAAGAAATTTCAGCTCCAACTCAAAGAAATTTCGGTAGCGTTTGGTAAAGTTTTTTAAATATGATTTGACAATAGGAGTTTTATTTTGAATTTGTGAGTTTTGGAATTATGATTTGAGTGTGAAAAATTTGTTTGGTAAATAAGTTTTCAAAAGAGTTTTAAATTGAGTGAAATTTTTTTGATGTGACATATGATATTTGATACAAAAACTTACAACTCAAAACCAAACACACAACTCAAAATTCTATTCAAAACTCATAAAAAAAAATTTTAAAATTCCGATTTTTTTTTTATGTAAAATATAAAAAATAACATGTGCCAATTGTAGTAAAAAAATAATTGCACTGTTCCGATCAACCGGTCGATCGTTCGGGGGATGACCGGTTAGCCTAAATTTTCCTGTCTTGGAAAGAGTTTTCAAAAGTGAATGTGAAATTAAATTTTGAAAACTGTAACTAAACACCACGTACAAATTAAGAGGTAGAATTACATTTCCAAAATTCCTCCAAATAGAGCCTTCAATTTTCACAAAAAATTTCTCTAGTTTCACAAAGAAAATTCAAAAATTCTCTGTGATCGTACCAGAGAAATTTATTTCTCTGTAAGTCGCATTTTTTCTGTGAAAATGATAAATGACTTTAATTACTATAAAAATATTGTATGTACTTTATCGTATAAAATATCAAATAATTTTAAACAAAAATCCCTTATTTAATTTGGTTAATTAAAAAAATAAATTTATTTAATTTTTATAAAATAAAATAAAATACTTTTTTATTTAATCTACCCAAAAAAATAATTAAAGTACTAAAGACTGATGTACTAAGTAAACAATTGAAAATGATAAAATAGTCTATTAAGCATTTATCCTTGTTCATAATATTCCAATCAAACATTGGATTCAATAGAATAGTCATTTCCATACATCTAATCTTATGATAAAACAATCCGATACACATTCTTTCCAACTAAATAATCTAAGAACTTTATATCTCAAGATTAATAGTCCGATGGATTACAGTTCCCCTTTTCCAATCCGTCCAAACAAACATGACCTAACAATGTTATACTTTGCTCGTAATTATGCCTTGTGTGCTGGAAATTGGTGCATTTCCCGCTTACCCCAATTGTGGATCCTTTTTTTGGGGTTTAATATGGCCGTCAACCAATTATTTCAAGATCAGCACCTACAAATGCTATGATGTCCCTACAAAAAGTCCTTTTTTGGTGTTCAGAAAAATAAAAAATCAATGCAGTTATTAAAATTATGTTACAAAGCATCTAATTTGTCACTGCAAATGAATTATAGGAAAAAATAGCAATCCTTCCTTAACCATTAATCTATAAGAGTTGAATTTTAACTTAGAACTTAGAAGTGCTTCATAGCCAAGGTCCTAAGCTTTTAAACTTTAGAAGTCGAAGTCCATTTTTATGTTTTAAATTAATCTTGTCCAATTTGCCCTTACACGCTCAATTACTTCAATGTTCTCCACTGATGGATATACAACTCTCTTTAGCTTCCACCAATTCCGTCAACAAGCTTAAAGAAGATGACTTCAAATCAACAAGCTTAGAGATCTTATCACTATTTGAGCATTGTAGCTCATTCATGGCTCGTTTAGAAGGTTAGGCTTTGTTGCACTTGGTTGCCTTTACTCTACTCATGCTTTGATATTTCTGTCTATATAATTATTTTTCCACCATTATGTGAATACAATACCCTTGCTGATTTTATAAATGAAATAAACAGCAAGTGAAATTGAAAACAAAACAAAGAAATTTCAGTATTTCCAAAAAACAAGAAAGATTTCTATTTTAAAATAATCGAAGTTTCCATTTATTATCATGTTTGGATCCCTTAATTTGAATTTTTTAGTTCTAAAAATAAATGAACTGTACTTAATTTCTTTTGCAACATAGTTCTTATGCCTGAATTTTAAATTTATCCATTTTTAAAAAGTGATATTTCGTCTAAGACAGTAAAATTTTACTACCTTTTAAAGGCAAGAAACACTACAAAATTTTGTTGCCTTTTCAACTTATTTTGCCATTTCAATGAATGTATTATTACAGTCCGAATTAAAAGAGTGAGGTGGTCGCTAGGTGAGTACACATAAGTGCCCCTTCAACGACTTGATTTTTTTATTAACTTGCTTTCAGATGAAAAAAGCAGTGTTTCAAAATGACTTTTTAATTGTATGAGAAAATGAATTGTCTTTCTAGTAACTTATTAACTAACTTTAATTTTTTTAGTCACTGATTTCAACCTAAAAATCAAGTTACCAAACCACTTGTACTCAAAAAAGAATTAGCATATGCAATGAAAAACATTCCCCTCACCGAAGTGTTGAACAGTCAATTTGTGCCAACATTTTTCTTTTCCCAGAATTGAAAAAATCATCATAAAATGATTCGATGATCAAACTAATATCAATTCTTCTTCAAAAACCTATCTATTTAAACAAAATATTCACATCAAAAAAGTACCTCAAGATTACCATAAAAAAAATAAAATAAAATAAAATAAAATCATATTAAATCACACATAAAAATTCTAGAAAAATAATACTAGAAATTTCATATCAAGAAAACGTGATACAACCGAAACTACGACCCAAGAAAGGCAATAAAAAATGGAAGCTTTCTTCTTTTTCATTTTTCCCCACTCCGCACTGCCGGGTGCCAGAAAAGGTTTACCGCATTCCATGGTTACTCCTCATCATATTATTTGATCATCATGGAAAAACATAAAACCCATATATATATAAAAAAGAACAATGTTAGGATCCCAATAAATTGCCAAATATTATGCAATTGTTTAGAATATCCTAAATAAGTACACTATTTAAACTAAAAAATTGAGAAAAAATAGATGATTGTTTGAAATAACTTTTTGACTTTTTACAAAATATACGTGTACAGAGTAGTGTATAGGAAATGATTGCCTACTTTTCAAGTATTGAATTGGACACGCTAAGGAGATGGTTGTTGTCCAATTCAATGCTCGACAAGGAGACAACCATCTCCTATACACTACTCTGCACACGCTGACATCCACCGTACTGCCTATTCGATCCTAAGCTTCTCCTACACACTAATTTATATAATTTTTTAATACATATTTTTTCGTAAAAAATCAAAAAATTATCCCAAACGTCTTTTTTTCTTTGGCTTTTTAATCTAAAGAGTCAAAGAGTGCAATTATTTAAGACATCCCAAACAACCCCTTAAATACTCACACCGTGCCTCATGTGCATATTTAATAAAATATTTAAGAATTTAATTAACGAGTGTCATAAGGATATTGATTAATAATATGTAAATTGATTATACATTACATGTACACACATGCATTATGTACAAGCATTTTAAACTTCTTATCAAGTAGCCTAACGACACTCATCAACAAAACCTAATATTTAATAATTCATTTGGGATCTAGCATCTTTGTATATAAAAACCATTTAAAAAATAAAAATAAAAATAAAAATCAGAATGAGAATGATTAGGCAACATCAAATTGTTGAATAAATACTTTTTTTCCATATTTTAAAATAAAAATATTATAATTAATTTAATATTATAGTTTAAATATAGAAAAACTACATGTAGATGAGAGGAGAGAAAAAAAATATGAACACATGTGACACATGCACTCCTCACAATCTTTTATTTGCACCCTACCACAAACAATGTAAAAATACAAAAAAATAACAATTAACACAATTAGTTTATAGCAACCCCCCCTCCCCTTTTTCTCTCTTTTCCTTTCTCTTCAATACTCCTACCCATTATCTCTCCTCTTTGATAACTATGTCTTGCTAAGTTACTCTCCACAGTTAACACAAAACAAAGTATTTAACACCTCCATTAAAGATACTCTACAATAATGTTAACTGTAAAAAATATCCTAACTAAAAGTAGCTAGAAAGAAAAGAGAAAAAAATAAGAGAGGATTGTAAGAGGAAAGGAAAAAGAGAGAAAATGAGAGGGGTTCGCATTTAAAAAGATAAAATTGTGTTTAAAAAATATGCAACTATTTCAAGTTTTGTTAACTATTACACTCAAAATAATTGTTAAAAAATACTTGTTAAATATATTTATATAAATTTTTAATACTTTAATATATTTTTACACATACAAATATGAAAAATATTTGAAACCCACAAAAATCTCACAATTTAACCCACAATGATGTGGCATAATAGGTATCAATATTTGATTTGTTACACCCAATGATACGGGTCCAACTACTTTACCACATCACTGTGGGTGAATTTGTAAAATTAAATGAGTTGATCTCTAATATTTCTCAAAATATATTGAAATATTAAGGTGTATGAATAATATTTTTGCATAATTATTCTTGTACTACTGATATGGGTTCTAAACTTCTAATAAAGAGCAATTCAGAACTAAACAACTAGAAAAAAATGTTATTTCTTCCTTTTATTTCACACTGGCACTTTCTTCTGCCATCATCATCTGCAAAACATGAGATTGATAAATGCCTAAGATTGATAAATGCCTTGGGGTATGAGCATTCTCTCAAGACAAACGCCTCAATTTGTCGTCACAATTTCTAAAGGAATGCAATGAAATCGGACTCATCATCATATTATTTGTTCATCATCGAGAAGCATAAATCTCATGAGTATATATAAACAGTAAAAATTGAGGCAAAAATGCTTACACAAAATCAAATAGATGAAAAACAAACTCAGAAGGAAGAACTTAAGATGATTGCACACATTGCACCTAATCTTGGATGAAACTGAAACTCAAGTCAATGAACATACAACTACTGGCCTCATTTTAAATTGGCTCTAAATCTAGGCACCTTCAATAATTATATATCCTACCAGTTTCACTAGATAATTCCAAATTTCCTACACATTATTTTTTGGGCAAACAGTGAGTAGAAACTCAGAACTCAATTTTTTAAATTTCATGCAACTATGATACAATAATAGATGCAATGAACCTTACTTAAAAGGGATAATGTTTCAACAATTCAAAACACCAACTCAACAATTAGCATGCCAACATGATGCTCCTGAATCAATAAAAACGATGTCTACAAAATAATTGGAGCAGATCATGTTACTCCCCAACAAGAATCACTAAGAACTATAGTTATGAGACCTCAATCAAGAGATACAGGGATACTATGGGAGTAAAGCTTTTGCATTGCCTCATTTATTAAAACCACCACCTCCACATGTCATGCCATGGTGGTGGTAGTATGGGAGCTAAAGCTTAAACCAAATGATTTAAAATGGCGAAAAAATATACAAATGGATTGGGTTGCAAGCATTCAAAATGTCTCTGTGGGAGTGTGATCCTCTCTATTATATAGTTGTAATAAAAGATTTTCATTACATCATCCTACGGTTATAAAAATGACTTTTTTGATAAATTCACAAAACCTAATTTATAGCCATTGGATAGTTGATAAAGATCTTCCATTGCAACTGTGTAATGAAAAAGGTCAAAGTTCAAGTAAGAGGTAATTGTTTCGAATTGTGATACTCTCTCTCCATTCCAAAATTGTAATAAAAGATCTCTATTACATCATCCAAAGGTTTATAATAATTCCTAAATTTAAAATAGTAATAAATTCTCATAATTATTTCATGACCCTTAAATGATATAATGGAGATCCTCCATCACAACCATGTAAGGGAGAGGATCTCAGTCCAATTGATTCAATCAAATATACCTCAAAACACAATACTTGCATCATCATTATACCCACATTTCACAACCCATATTATTATGTGCGAATTAGTTAAATCTTATAGTTACTCATTAAAACAGCTAGATAAGATTGGTAACTGCTCTAGACAAACCTAGAGCGATCCAATTTCAATCTACATAAAGGGTTGGCTTTATATATTAAAATAAACATTTTTCACATATTTCAATACACTTTTTACACATATATCAATTTCAATCACACACATTGAGCAATGATTAACATTTCTCAATTATTATAAGAAAATGCTAACAATTGCTCATTGATTGGTAACAAATGTGATATGTGTAAAAAATATATTAAAATATGTCAAAAACATACATTAAAATATATAAAAGTGTAAAAAGATATGTGAAATATGTATTGGATTTTCAACTCTTTTTTACATATTATTTCATCCTTAACAAATGCCAATGACCAATGGCAATGAGCAAAACCATCAAGTTAGGATAAACTTTCACTTTTCAAATATTTCAATGCATTGTTTACTCATACTAATTTTTAACCACTCATTAAACAATGATTAGCATTCCCCATCCTTATTAAGTCAATACTAGCATGCCCAATGAGCTATAATTAATGTTTGTACATGTGTAAAAAAAATATAGATATAGATATAGATATATTGAGGTTTATCCAAAAAAGTAATGAGAGTGGTGTGAAAACTTGTAATGATTTTTTGAATATTTTAGAGCTAAATTTTTTGCCCAATATTTGACCTTTAACTAACACACAATAATCAGTGATTAGCAAGAACCTGCGGGTCTCCAATGGGTATCATGTCTCCACCCCATTTCTCTCTCTTTTCACTCTTTCTTGGCATTGGGTAATGTTTTTCTCTCTATCTCTTCTCTCCCAGCTAGAGTACTCCCCACAGATAACACACAAATTAACATTTTACAATAACAAGTCCCTTAACACAACTATTAGAAATGTTAATGCAGGTTAACTGTAAAGAATATCTTAGCACGGAAGCGCAGAGAAAGGAGAATGGGAGGATCACCTGACACGTGAATCCTCATATTATTGTACTTCAAGTAACACTCCGTTTGAATTGAAGGGTTTGGTAAGAAAAGAAAAGAAATAGAGAATAAAGTTTCTACTTGTTTGTTTGGTTGTTTGGATGATTAACTAGGAGAGTAACAGTGAGAAAGAGAAAACCAAATCACACCGAACTTAAATTTTTTTTCCTCACCAAAAGTGGCAAGATTTGATCAGAAACCAAAATCCAAACAAGAAAGTGAGAAACACTATCATTTCTTTTCTTTTTTAATCCCTCAATCCAAACGGAGTATAAAAAGTTTTGATAGAATGCGAATCGAAACTATATAATTATGCAACATTAAAAAAATAATAATAAAAGAATGCAACAAAACAAAAAAAGAAGCAGCAAATAAACAAACTAAGAAACAATGGAAGAGGGAGGGAGTGAGTAATCTCTCAGACAAATGCCTCGATTTGTCGTCACGATTTCTAAAAGAATGGATTTGAGATCGGACTCGTCATCTTATTATTTGTTCATCACCGAGAAACTTAAACCCCATATATATATATATAAACACCAAGAAGAAAGAAAAAAAATGAAACTGAAAATCAAAGCAAAAAATGATGATGCAAAATCAAATATCAAAAAGAACAAATTAAAAGAAACAACTTAGAGATAATTGAGAGTACCTGAAACAAAACGAGAAGCGTTTTAAGAAGTTTCAAGTCCCCGCAGCCTCTGTTGGATACCTCTCTTAGCTGATGAACCGAAACACTTGTTCTTATAGGCGATGGGTTGTGCTTTAGGGTTAGGTTTAGGGTTTTTTTGGCTTCCACAATTTCTTCAAATTACGATATTACCACTATCCAATCCCGCAGCATTTTTTGTTGGGAGATTTGTCACGTGTCTCTCATACTTTCATTTTTTTACAACTACCCTTTCGAGATTTGGTAAAAATACAAATTTTTTTTTGAGGTTTGAGAAATTACATTTCATCCCTTGAAATTTATATTTCTATAACAAATTGTCCCCTAAGATTTTTATTTTCATACAGATTCCCTCCTAATTTGTTAAGCAAATTTGACTTTCAGGGGGCAATTTGTAATTTCTTAAACCTCAAGGGGGAATTTGTATTTTCATCAAATCTCGAGGGAGGTGTTTGTAATATGCCCAAAAAAAATTGTTCAAAGGATAAAAAAATTTAATACTTACAAAACTCTCTCATAGCTTTATTTTTTATTAAAAGGATAAAATTTTACTTTAATTCATAGTAAAATTTTATTCTTAATCAAAGTAAATTTTAGTAAAATTTGTGATTTCGCTTGTGAACAAACAGAAAAAGGGGAACGAACAAAAAACAAGAATTTATAGGAAACGAGTGAATGAAAAAGAGAAATAAAGAGAAAAAGAAAGAGATCAAATGAGAGAGAAACACATAAAGAGAGGGATCAAAGAAGAGAGAGAAACAAAGTTTAAAAAAAGAGAGAAAGAACTATCGATTTTCAAATCTAAGGTAATAAATCTCAAATATGAGATAGTGAAGACAAACAATGACTATGAGAATGATAAGAATAATGTTTTAAAATATTAAAAACTTTTGAAAGTATTCATATAATTTTTATCCTTTTGACAAGATAAGTATATCTTGAGAGATTTATGACTAAATTTCCCTTTTTTGTTCATGGATTTTGTGAGACATTTAAAAATGGAGGGAAAAAAAAGTAAACAAATATAAATGAAATATATATATATATTTTACTTATATTTCACACACCCTTATTCTTTCTCTTTCCAAAAAAATCCATAAACCAAACAGCCTAATTGAGTCTCCTAATTCCATCCACAATAATGTGAATGAAAAAGAAAAATGATTGGTCTATCGAATTTGGACTCGCCCGAATTGTACGAATAACGTAAGTTGAATGACTGGCGTCACTCTTGTCAACCGCGGTTGTCACCCTTGTCATTCGGTGTGTCAACTAACATTCTTCCAGATAATCGACATGCACAAATTTGAACAATTCGAACAAGTCAAAATTCGATAGACGTAACATTACTGGATGAAAAAATGAAGTTAGAAAAGAGAGAGAGAGAGAGAGTGTGTGTGTGTGTTTGTGTCTGTCTTCAAGTAAGTGACATGTCATTGAGAATGGAATTAAGGGACGTCAATTAGAGAATGAATAATCATTTTTCTACCACTACCCTTGTTAACTATGTTTTTTTTTTTTTTTCTTAAAAAAAAATTTGTTGTTTCTTTTGTAGAAAAATAAATAAATAAAAAGGCACTCGGTTGAGAAATTCAATTTCAAATTTTCTTGGTCGAAAAATCGAGGCATTGATTTTCTTTGCTCATAAGGCCAAGCATATGTAAAATAACCAACATACCCTTCTGTATATAAACCATATATAACACTTGTCACGACCCAAACCCGCCCCTGTAGGTTTAGCACTGTGACCAGCTAGTAATCCGTGGATTACCAAAGGCCTCTGAACAGATTAGCAAATAATAAGGGGCTGCAGAAGCGATAATACAAAATAGACAAGGTCTAATGAGTTGTGATAACGTAGATGGGACAGAACATTTCAAAACTTATTTATATATACATAAACGTGCCGTCCAGATACACAATATTTACAAGGTATTTACAGAATGTACTTCCCAAGACCTGACTTTACAGAGCATATACAAAGACTAGCATGAATACAAAAACAGTCATGGCTTAGGCTTCGTTCGGAACCTCCTCGGGAGGCACAACGGTTGGCTGACAAAACAGAACAGAAGGCCGTCAATTCTGGCCCTGGTTACACGTCGGCTCACCTACATACATAATATAAACTGTGAGCTAAAGCCCAGCGAATAATAACAAAGTAAAGGATTTAATGAATGACGTTCGTCACAGAGTTAGAAATCAAATTCTTATCATAACAGATTCATATACATATTCATAACTATTTCCATAATCAGATTTTGCATATAAGCATACGTGGTACATCCCTTAGCGTCAACAAATCCGATGGCCCATAAAGGGACGGTCTTGAACGCATTCTGATGACTCATGTGCACAGAGACGTTTCCAATGACCCATAAAGGGACGCATATCATATGATGCTAAGGATGCCACGAATAACTTTCAAAATTTTGGACAACCATTCATTCATTTCAAACATAGCATAGCATTTCAGAGAACTAATTACTTCGTATCATAATATTCAGAAAATACTTAACATTGAACATAACTTTACAAAGTTATTACTCACAGAAGATTGGTAGCCCTAACTAGATGTTAAGGCGGCCCTTCACTTGTTCTGAGGCGCGCTACCTACATGAACACACATACGAACACACACTTGAAACACACGTTCGAATTTTACATAATTTATGTCGTTTGCTCTTAGTGTGTTTCTAACCCTTAATCCTCATTATGGAGTCTTAAACATGGCTTAGAAATGCCTAGGATGGAATGAGGATGCAAGAATGCGTTGGAAAACATTTCTCAAGATTTGCTAAAAATAAGGTCCACGCTCGAGCGTGGCTTTCCTCGCTCAAGCGGACATGCAGGCAATGATGCTTCGCTCGAGCGTGAATTTCCTCGCTCGAGCGTACTGTAAACTCATGAAAAAGTGCTAGATGCATGATTTTCACGCTCGACGGGCGCTCGACCTACGCTCGAGGGTCAGACTTAGAACCTCGCTCGAGCGTGGATTCCCTCGCTCGAGCGGACTGTAAAACACAAGAACTTCTAGGTATATGCATTTCACGCTCGAGCGTATACTTCCACGCTCGAGCGGAGTGCACGTACTCATGGTTCACGCTCGAGCGTAAAGTCCCATGCTCGAGCGTGGATCAAATTTCTGGAAATTCCAGATTTGATCACCAAGCTCAAATTCGACCTTTGAAGCATCAAACTCAATTTTTTGGGCCCAAAACTTTGGAAAACACTTAACAACTCATAGAACAACATGTTTAAAAGATCATTTCAAGAAATCATGGCCCAAAAGGATATCAATTTTGCACAAACTCAACTTAAATTCAAAATCAATTGATGAACATCACATGCAAGTACATTTTTGAGCTAAGGCTCTTCAAAACATGATCAAATGCTACCAAATCACATGAAACTCATTATGTTTCCAAAATCAGAATAGACTCAACACATGCATGAAGGAATTCTTGAAATAAATCTCTAAAATGCCATGAAACATGCATGCATGCATGAATTCATTCTTAAGTCCCAACCTTTAATTCAATTCACATGTTAATTCGCCTACATAACTGATTCCAAGCATTAATCAACTAAATTACAAGGCTAGAGACTAACATTCTTACTTGAAGTTCTCAATTCCTTTTTGTTAGAGATGTTCTTGAGCAAACCACCAAGGTCTCTTAGCAATTTCTCATAATCCTCAAGCTTGATCCCAATTCCTTCCCTCTCTCACTCTCTCCCACGTTTTCTTCCCCTCAAAACTCAAGTGTGGTTAAGAATGACTAAAGGAGGTGAGTGGGGCTCAATTAGCCTAATAAGTGGTAATGGCTCACAAATAAACAAATGTCATTATTTTAATCAAATTTAATCGTTCCGAACCGAATTTTAATTAAACCTACCATAAAATTCTATAAATTCTAACTAGTACATAAATCAAGTCAATTTCTGATTTGAATGCCGATAAGGCTTCCAAACAAATATTTCTATAAGTAATAGATAGAAGGCCAAATATCATGCAATTTACATATTAATCCTATAATTCACTTGATCCACTCAATTAGCATCTTTAATCATTGATTAGTAGCTAATTACGGGTCGGGGTTATTACAGTCTCCCTACCTTAAAAAGTTTGGTCCTCCAAACTCAAGTTATCTTATATCAAAAGAAATGATGTTCATCGAAAATATAACTGCAATTCTTTACAAAACAGAAGCATAACCATATTCATAAATATGCTCATAACCCAATCTCGACCTTAGCTTCGTACAGAAACAGAATCACAAATCGTATACAGAGATTAGGGTTCGTATCAAAACAGAGTCTTATACACATCCATATTTTAATCAGAAACAGATACAGACACAACAGATACAAAACAGATGCAGACATGTGATGGTTATGAATAACCAGTTCCATAAAGGAACCTCCGAATTCGGGAACAGAGAACAGATAAGCTGAGCCCCCATGAAGGGGCCTCCAGCACGGGTAACAGAGTACAGACAGATATAAGTTCCATAAAGGAACCTCCGATACCGGGTAACAGCCAACAGATATTACATAATACCAAGAGTCACACGAATACATACCAGAGGTTGGACAATTATTCATTGCATAACACATAATATTTCAGAAAATAGATCCCCTTTAGACACACAGAGAACAAATACAGTTGAACACAACTTTACTACGTTATTATTCACATTACTTATATCAAGTACTTATCGGGGTCGTAGATTCACATTGTTTCCCATTATTAAGTCACAGAGGCTTGATTTACTAACTCCCGAGTCATCCACCCGGTCCTTGTGCAACTTGGTTTTCAATTCGATAATCCATTACAGTTAGTCCAGGTCATCCAAAGTATAGTAGAAATACAAGGCAATTTCGTACGTTAACCTCATAGCAGTAAACGAAATTCCGAGGTAATCATTCAGATACTATTCATCGACCTCAATTTTCACAGATTCAATCGTACTATGTGTCAATACAGAAGCAGTCCTACTGATTACATATATCCCCAGGTAGTCAGAGTTTATAATCAAACCAGTCTGTTGTCACAAATCCCATCAGTTTTGAAGTACAGTAATACCAAAGCAATCATTCTCTAGTCAAACAAGTTCATGGTCAAAACGGTAATACCGGGT